GGGGAGCAGTCGCTGGACGTTTGCAATTTGGGAGCTGGGGGGGGCGCGGGGGGGGGGGGGGGGGGCAGAGAGGAGAGAGGCCTTTTCTAGATCTGGGTTAGATTTGTTGCAGTGTAAGTTTTCTTTAAGATTAGGACTTTGCCACAGCCAAATCTAGTCCTGATTTTTAGACTTCTAATTTGCAAGATTTGCCCAGGAGATTCTTTTTAGGTACCTGGGATAAGCTCTTGTACATTTTTAGTTGCGTCTAAATGAAAAAAGTATAAATGGAGATGCAAACTTGGATCAAAAAAATCACATCAGCAGGATTTGCTTTGAACTTTCAAGTCTCTCTCTGCCTCTCATATGCACGTACATAGAGAGTTTGAAGTATTTCAGGTCTGAGGTTCTGGTTGATCATCGATCTGATTGAGAAATAAGTAACATTCCCCCTCTGTACAAGCATTTGAGTTCCCCTAAATTCACCAGTTTTAATACACATTTTCCCTTTAATGGGCATCTATAATATGCTGCAAAGGTCATTTACCTCGTGCATGTTTCTATCCAAGTCACCCATTTCTATGCTCTGTTTCCTCTTTGCTACCACGCAAAAAAGCAAGCTGTTTCTATTGCCTTTGAATGCACCTCGTTACCATTTCCATGCCAGTTTTGAGAAAGTAGCTTTCATGATTCTGATCGGTCCATGATGTTAGCCTATACAGACCATTTCTTAAATTTTCAAATAAGCAAGGCTTTTCATGCTTTCTCCCATGATGTCCTTATGTCCTCTGTTAACCACAGCAAAGCTATTTCTTTATCCTCCTTCAAATAAGCCCTTCCTCCCTTTCCCATGCTGTTCTTCGCCAGGATGACTGAAGGGAAAAACCAGCAACAGGTGGATGCCAGCGCTCCGTGTGTTGCTCGCTGTGTGGGCCGGTAACGTCTGTAAGGTATCTGTGTTCCCCTGCCCATCCCATGACCTCTTGTCATGGAATTCGGCTATCAGCTTCCTGGAGCAAGGAACGTCTCCAGCTGTGTATTTTTACAGTAGGCAGCACAACAGGAGCTGATCCATGCCCGGGACTCCTACGGTATCCGTGCCAACACAGTTATTTAGTCCATTTTTGCCCACTAACTCCTGCCAGCTGCACACACGTTTGGTAAACGGCAGCTAAAGGGGGATAACCGATACCGCCAAGTAACTTTGGCGGCACACCTGTAGCCGTCCCGCCCTCCCAGAGCACACGCCGGCCGTCACCAGCGGTGCACCCGGGAGAGGGGCTCCGCCGCACCGAGGAGCGCCTCACGCCCGCAGCGGGTCGGCGGCTATCAGCGCCGGGGACTGCTCGAGGA